TGGCAGTTGGGGATCCCTTTAAGAGCAGAAAATAGCCTCTCTACACTTGCTTCCATTGGAAATAGATTCACTTAAAACTGAAATAAGTTCTGTAGATGACACAACATTATGTATATATTTTTTGATTATCTATTATATTCTTGGCATCTCTTTTATAATTTTTTTCTGCTATTGTTTTCAAGCCTTATTATCAAGCTCATATTATCTGGTTTTCCTCCCATAGTATTCTATATCTAGAATGAACATTAATTGCAGTTAGAAATATATCATTATCAAAGGGTTTTCTTCTTCTTTCTGCATAAAATTTGAAATGTTTTCTGCAAATTGTCCTTGATTCTTCTCTGGGTCAGATTTAATTTTAACCAATCATTTGGGAGCTCTTCTGGAGTGATGTCGGTTCCTTGAAGTTTAATCACATCATGTGGCTTTTTTAAAAGATCGCAAAGATGACTTGACTTATCCCATATTTCAAGGTATAGAAAGAATATCTGATCTACTGCAGCAAATTGCTCACACACTGGATGCAAAAGTAATAATATTTCAATTATCCAGAATGTAGAGCCCCAGCATTTCTCATTATCTAAAATTGAAACAATCTTGTATTGCTTCCTAGCTAAAAATATTGTATGTGAGTTTCTTAGTTTCTTTACAACATAACGCACTTTTGCCAAAAGTTGAGCAATGTATGTTTTTTTTAAATAATACGAATAGCTAGCTGCAAAGTGTGAATAACACAGCGCATCAGCTTAATGTCAGTTGACAATTGTTGACTCCATTCTGGGTTGATAAAGGCTAGATTTCCATCCGAGCTCCTTCACTTTCTTCTCCATTTGTACCTTGTTGTAAAATCTCCAATTGTTCTTCATCCTGCAAAGCTTCATCTTAAATATTTTCATCACCTGAGTATTTGTTTAAAATTGATTGCTCTAATCATATTGGCTGCATTGTCTACACTTGCACATACTATTTGATCATTGCTGATACCAAATCTATATAAAGTATCTTCCACCATTTTTTTTGATAGCAACAGGGTTGTGCTGTCCTTGTGTATCTATCAGTACCAAATTTTTTTTTTGAATAATAATTATGAATACTTATTGCCAAATAGTTCTTTTGGTGTCAAGTGAAGGCATCTATTTTCACATAAATAAATTTCTATAACAATATTTCCTTTATTTCAGCTTTATTTTTTTCAACAAATTCATTAATCAAATTGCGTACAGAATTGTGTCCAGTACTGAATCCAAGACTTTTACCTTGTTGGCCTGTAACTAATTGAAATCCTTCGTTCGCAAATGTTTTTAAGGAAACTCTGTTCTTCACTACCATTTTAACAATTCCAATTTGATTTATTGTTTTACTACTAGTGATAGCAAACGAATCTAAAGTAATCTGTTTAAATTTTTTAGAATTGCAATCTTGTGAATGGGAAAAGATGATCTTTCTTTGACCTATTAGTAGACATCAATTCTCTCGATAAGTCCTGCCCTTCTATAAAATTATCTCTTTTTTCTTGAGAATAAACTTTGCTTGTTGCTTCTGTTACTTGTTTAACTCATCTTCCAATTGACTGACCATGACAAGGCCAATTTGGAACAATCATAGGCTGAAATATTATTTGTTTTACTTATTTTGTTGCCAGATCACAAGTAAGAATAGGCTCATAAGATATATTCCAATCAATTAGCTGCATAAGCTGATGTTGTTGCATCAGGTTTTATTTCTGGAGTTGTTCTAGCTCTCACATTTTTATCACCAGTTTGAAGTTTTTCATCACCAGGACCTCTGGTTTTCACAATCAACTCTATACTGATCTTTTTTTCCTCTACATTCTCTGAGCAGAGCATGGTCTGTATGATGCACTCAGAGAAAGCACACCATGCTTAACGTCAAACTGTTGGCATAACAATTTCTAATACTTCGCTTGGTTGATGTTTTAGAAGGCTAAGCTGGTAAAGAATATGTCTCGGTCCTTCAGTAAACCTGTGCTCGACTTTAATTTAAACTACATAGGCATGTAAACTCTAACAATAAACTCAATTATTAATTTAAGGTTTTTTAAATTTTTACCTTCTAACTCAAGTCATTTGACAGTTGTCAACCATCTGGAATTATTAATCGGCCCAAATTCAATTAGAGCCAAGTCTGCAGGTATTTTTCCTCTTCTAATTGCAGAGTCTATTTTATACCCATAAAACTGATCGGAGGATAAATTTTTGATTACTTCATCTTTTAGAGTATTAAGTGGATTGCCAAGATCAATTTTTTCAAAGGATGGATTAATTTCCAGAGTAGTTGTGTCATTTAAAAATTTTCCAATGCTGCCTCTCCATTTGATGCTGCTCAGAGTCTCTCCATCAAAAGTTGTTATCAGATGAAGCAGAGGAAGTTCATTAGTATGGTGCGCAAACCAGACAGTTTAGCTTTCTTCCTAACTTTACTTCCAGCCAATGTATTCCTTCACCTGACCACTCTGTGTTAACACTAGTAGAATTGCCACAGATCGCTATTAGGCTTTTAACGGCACCATTACTTTTAAAAAATTTGTGTACATTCTGAGCAATTACTTCTGCGTGTCTCATATTTTTTTGAACTTTTTCAGGTGTGAAATGTAAAAGATATCTACCATCGGGCTCTTGACATACTGTATAATGTTCTTCTTTGATTGTAGCAGGATTAAATTTAGATAAATGTTTGACTACTAATTGAAATTTTGTATTATCAATTCTGCCATCAAAAAAAATACAATCAATAATGGTAGACCTGCATTGAATATTAAACTCTCTAGAAAAAGGCAGCCTAATTTTTACTTGAGCTTTCTTGACTTTGCTGTGGTCAATAAACAACTTGGTATCATCTTCTTTAACTATTCCTGCATCCATCCAAGCTGCCATTTCAATTGAAGCTGTTTCCCGCAAGCCTGTACCATACCGTATGCTTGCTAACACTATGTTGGAAATACTTTCATAATTTCTGTGTCCTCGTAAATGTTCCTGATCATCATTCTGTTGACAAATTAGATTGAGTTCAGTATTGCTGTTTGTTGTGAAACATTCATTACTAAATAGTTTTTCTGTTATGCTAAATTTAAATTCAAACTTTTCTTCCTTAATTCTAATTTTTTGTTGCAGTTCTTCAGACGCTTTTTGCTTTAGCTATGGATAAAGTAATTGAATTTTCATTAATTGATGTTTTGTAAAATATTGTTAGTAAAAATAGTTTTATGAATATATTTTTTATTTGTCATTTCCTAATGTAAGTAAAATATAAATAGTCGTATGTAAAAATTTCAGTTTGAATTTAATTAGATTTTGATATTGAAGTTAAATTGAGATTTGAGAATTTAATTAGATTTTGATAATGAAGTTAATTAAAGTTGAAACAGACAAGTTATATTTGTAATATAACTAAAATTAATTTAACTTTAGAGTTTAATTTTTCTTTATTAACTAATTACTAATTAAAAACATAACTTATTAAAAAAATCTTACTTCTTCCTTCAATCTTCTTTCTCCAATTTTATTTAGCTTTTTGTTTTCTTTTAAGTCAGCTAATCTGGTTTGATGCAGACCGGTAGTCCCTATTTTAGCTTTTTGCCCAAGTATAAAAACTAGCTCTTTAGAATCTTTTTCTTCTTTTCTAATGTACAGTTAATATGGGCTTCATTTTTACATTCTGAAAAATAATTTTTCTCTTGACAAGTAATAATTTAGCAATTACAATTCTGTATATCAAACAATTTGTCAAGTTTTGCCAAAAATCTTTATTCTTTAAGCTTGCTTTTTCCCTAGCAACCAGGTTGGCTGCATTCCATTCATTCACCAATGTTGCAGTAATATAAAGTTCAATATAAGTTACAGGATATAAAAATAAAGCATTGGTGTGGATCCATTTCCTAATTAACTTTGTGTAAACATCGTAGATTAATGATTTTATCGGATATTTTCTTTTGTTTCTATTGTTTCTTTCTTGCAAAAACAGACCATATCTAAGAAGATCTCTTAGCGTCAGTAACTCCGATACTAGAATATCTGTTCTAGAATCTTTATATTCTGAAAGCTTTGTGCCGCTTTTTTTTCTAGTTCTTGAGAATATTGACTCATGATTAAATAGCAAAGAAAAAAAACTTTGCTATTTAATCATTGCCATGATTAAATAGCAAAGTTCATAATTTGTAAACTTTTAGCGTAAATTTTATAATTTTAAAAATTTTTAATGATGTTTTTTAACATTTAACATAAAAATTATATTTTTGACAATTTATAAATTGGCAACTTTATATAGTTTTGCTATCAAATAGAATTCAATGTGAGTGGGTGTAAACAATTACTTCTGTATAAAAATGCTTGGACGCAAAACAGTATGTGTGGTTAGGGTCAAAGCTAATTACAAAATTGACCTTAAATATGCAATTTTAAAACACACTTCCTGGTAGCTTAACATAAAATATTTTTTTTTTGGTTTTTATGTTAAAATAGTTGTACACAAGTTTTCTATATACTGGGTTTTATGGGAAAATGTTTTTTTTTTAAATTTATAACGATGACACACCCTACTGTTAATGTACATATTTTTTCCACTAAATGATGCTTTTTCAATTTTTCTCTATGCTATGCTTTGGTTTTTTTATTTTTCTCTGCAACAAAATTAATTTATATATTTTAATGAAACTTAAAATTGTTTAAAATAACCAGAAAATTGAAAATATTGTAAAAACTGGTGAGATTTTTTAAAAAAATCAGAGTCCAAAATGTTTGAGCACAGTCTAGGTCTTATTCAATCGCTATGAAGTTAGTTTAAAAGTATCATGTAGACCTATAAAATTGGATGAAAAACAGTATCTTTAAGATATTCATTTTTAAAGTTATTAAATCTGCCATAATGTGAAATTTTGAGGTGATCCTTGAATTTTGTGTCAACTATATAAATAATATCTTATATAGTTTCATTTTAGTTCAGGTTGGAAAATAATAACAGTATTTTGCTTTATTGATTTTTAGTACTGAATACTGCAAAAGTGAATTTCTTCAAGCTAAAGATGACCGGTTTCTTCGTTTATTGATACCTGATCATTGCAGCACTCTTTCTAAAGATAATTGTATCCAAGTACTTAAGTTGTATAGTAAAGGTTGTTATTTAGTTTATTTATTTATACTATTAAGTTTGTTTATTCATTTACATTATTTAGTTTGCTTATTTTTTTATATTACCTAGTTAGTTTATTTATTTATATTAGTTTATATTAGTTTGTTTGTTCCAATGTTACTTTAATTATACAGCATTTTTGCAATTTTTAAATTAATTTCTGATATTAAAACAGTAAAAAAAATATAAGATTGATTTGAAAAGTTTTTTTAATTTTATTTTATAAAAGTTTTATGTATTTAAATTTAATGTTAGTTTTTTTATTTTATATTTAGTTCAATATTTAAAAACTGTTTTACAACATGTTTTTAGAAACTCTAAATAATTAAAGAAACATATTTTTTTAAAGAAAGATTATTTTCTCTTATTAACAAAACATTAATATTTCATGTTAAAGAAACATTATTATCTATTATTAAAAAAAATATCAGTATCTTTTATTAAAAAAATGTTATCTCTAATTAAAGAAACATTATCTCTTGTTAAGGCAACAACTCTTAATAAAGCAACATTATCTCTAAATAAAAAAACATTATCTCTAAGTAAATTAAAATTATCTCTAATTAAAAAAAACATTGTTATCTCTTATTAAAGAAACATTATTATCTCTTTAAAAAAGGAGCAGTATCTCTAATTAAAGAAAAATTATACAGTTATTAATTCAAAAAAATAAAATATATTTAAAAAGAAAAACTTTTGCAAATAGGAATAAACCATTGTTTGCTTAGTCAAAGAACAATAAAAACGGCTTGTTTTTTAACTTTTAGATTTTTTTTTCTTATAAAATATAAAAATATTTAAATGAATACTAAAAAAGAGATTTTACTTTAATACAAAATTAGAAATGAGTGAAATTAAAAGCATAAAACACAAACACAGTTGTATCTTATACTGATTAAAAATACTCAGTTAAAAATAACAAGTTATAATTGTGTAATGAGTTTTTAAGTTATTTTGTGGGTCATTTGATTTTAAGCAGTCATAAAAGTTTATTAAAATGATAAAAAAATTTTAATTTGTCACTTTAAAACCATTTTGTATACATGTAATAAAAAAATTGAACTTTTGACAAATCTGCTAAACACCTTTTTATGTTACCTAAATATAAAATTTATGTTACCTAAAAATAAACATTTTGAGCACCAAGTCTCAGGGTAATCTAGACTTTATTATATTATCAATTTTATATAATATTCTTTTTTTTAATATTATATAAAATTTAATATATTATATATTTAGTATTAGAATATTCTGTTTTTTTTTAAAGTTTTAGATTTTATTTGCAAAAAAAAATGAACTCTTTTAAAGCTCAAACAAAGATTATGAATAAATAGCTGCTCGACACCAAACACTATTTGTTTATATTAACATAATTTGTATAGCTAACATTTTTTATTAATATATCAAAATTATAAAATGCAGACTCTTAGTTTATTATTTTAAACTCACCAACAAGACTGCAAGCAACCACTATTAAATTTGAAGATACTAGAAAACAAAGAATAGTGTTAACATGCAAGAAAATGGTCAACAGAAGAAAAGTTGTAGGTTGGAAGTTACAGATGTGTGTGATATATATAATAATATATATAGTATGTATGATAGTTATATATGATCTAAAAAATGTAATAGAGATGTTATAGAAGTAGTAAATAGATTTTGTAACTCATTAGAGCAGCAACCATGATAATATTTGTAGAATAGAGAAAGAGATACAACCTTATGACAATGGGAGATTATCTCAAACTTGGCAGATAGAATAGGTCTAACTACTTTTACAATGTGTTTTTAGACCTTGTTTAGTAGAGAAAGAGCATCATTAAATGAACCAGTACAAATATGACAACAGTATTCAATACAGGGGCCAATAAAAAATTTGCAGAGGTAAAAAATGGAGACAATCAGGGGTTGATGTTATAAAACTTTTTATCTGCGAAAATTTTACTCTAGAAATTTTTACAGTCATAAATGTAGAGTCATAAAACATTTTTCAATTTAATGTTATAAAAATTTTCTCCATCAAATTTTGTAGATATCTATGTTCTGAATTTATTAATAGAAATCTAATGTCCGGATCAATAACATTCTTAAGACATAAAAGGTAATCAAAACAAAGTGTTTTTGAGTTTAAGGTTAAAAAACATCAAAGTTAACAAACTGAAGGTTGGACTATTCCAATTCTAATAAAGAATATTTTGTTGCTTCAGAATTTGGCAAATCAGAATTTAGCAAATCAAAGACAACCACGAGAAGTAAAACTGTTCAAACAGTATTTAAACTGTTAAAAATATAATTTAAAAGTAAAAAAATAAAATTGTCATAAATTTTTTACCCAACCCAATAATAAAAATTGTATAGTTTTTTTTATAAAAATAATCATTACTATTTTTTATAAGCTCTTGAAACAAATGGCCTATAGAAATAGAGGTTTCTCTAGGCTATCTGTTGTGATTCAATACAATATTCTATAGACTTTTTGTAGTTGGATTTCTAAGACCATTTGTTTCAAAAGCCTATAAAAAAGAATTTCATTATGGTAATTCTTATAACATAAATTCATTTGGATGCAAAAAAACATTTAAAGGGATCCCCAACTGCCGAGACAAGTTGTGTTTATATTAAAGAAAATGTTTAAAAAAAACATTTGGGTTAAATTTTTTTGATTAAAACTAAATAATGAATGCACACCATTAAATTTAAAATTCACGTTTTAGTCGAAGCTCGCCGTATCAATTTTTTTTTTTTGGTTCTCGGAGTCTGTATAATGTTAGCCGCAATCTGCAGGCTTGATAATTTATTTTATGCGTGTTTAGTTCATAACAGTTTTGGTGTATGACGTCAGCATATAAATTTTTTCTTTTCAAGATGTCGTATTATTTTTTTGCCAAAATCACCAAATCATGTTAATTGTATAACTTTTTACTAAATCCCCAAAAAAGTTTTTGATGCAATTAAAAATTAAATAAATAAAATTTATAAAAATAAAAATTTAATATATAACGAATATTTACAGTAAACGTAGTGGTTTAAGCTAAATATAAGCTAGATACTAAAAGAATAATTTTACAAAAGCGTATAAGTTGATTTAAAATATAAACTGAAAAAAAGAGTGACTTGAATAAAACATTAAACTGAGAAGTAGAAAATAAATTTTAACTGACTTATTTTACTAATAACCATTTAAATCAAACTAAAGTTAAATCTTTATTAACTACAATTAAAGTTAAAACAAGTATCTGTACTAAAATATACAAGAAAGTGTATAAAATATAAATATAAAAACAAAGAAATGCATTAAATTGTTTGCTACCAGCTGAACAAAAATCTTTTTTGTAGCAACCACACATTTTTTTGAATAACACAAATAATATTTATGTTATTTCATAAATAATAATTTTATAAATAAAAATAATATTTTTTCTTCAAAACACTTTAGTAATTACTTAACTAAATACTTAACACTTCTACAAGTTAAGTTTTACAGTGTTAACACTGTTTAGTTTTATAACTAAATTTAAAGTTTTTTTATGAAGGATTATTCAAGATTTTTAACTTTTTTATAATTACACAATATAGCTCTTATTTTTTCTTGATTATGTAGAGAATTAATTAAACCTTCAGAACAAACAAATTCTATGTGTCTAGAATGGAAATTTATGTGCAAAACAAGATAAATTGTAAAGCATACTCGAAAGCCGCTACCGGCTTGCGGTAGTAAAAGAGTAACCATACAAAATGTAAATTAAACATAAAACGAACAACTCTATTGAACCATATGAACTAAATATAAAATGAAAAACCGCATCATACTGTCTTTATTTTTTCTCTGCCTGCAAACTCTAATTATCACAAAATATGTATAATAGTGTCATGATTTTGGTGGCTTTTACACAAAGTAATAATAAAAATTTTATTAATATAATTTAAATAGTTTTTGCGATTTCGTAAAAAGTTATACAAGTAATTGATATTCTGATTGTAGTAGAAAAAATACTTATATCTTTAAAAAAACGCTATCTTAAAAAGATATTGCAATGATGTCATATACCAAAACTGTTATCAATTAACACACATGAAATAAATTATCAAGTCTGCCGATTGCAGCTAACATTATACAGACCCCAAGAACCAAAAAAATGGAGACGGCAAGCTTCGACTAAAACGATAATTTTAATTTTGTTGGTATGCATTCGTTATTTAGTTTCAATCAAAAATATTTAGCCTAAATGTTTTTTTAAAACATTTTTTTAAATATGAACACAACTTGTCTCAGCAGTTGGGGATCCCTTTAAACATAAAACTCTTTTGTCGCTTTCTGCTTAAAATTTTCTTTACAAAATGTTTTGACTCGTTTCCTTACTATAAACAATTTGAGAAACCTTGGAAACAAGTTGTAACAATCTCTAAATGCTTTCTGAATAAGAAGAAAATCTTTGATGGATTTTGTTGCTGGTTCATCTGACTTTATCAAAAATATTTGAACTGTATGCCATATTCAAGCATAAATGTTAATTTCTAGAATTTCATTAATTCTGTTTACAGATTTTTTCAATTTCAAATTTTCAAATTTTTTTCGATTTCAAATTTCAAAAGTCTCTGCATAAATTTTAAACTGAGGAATTTTATTTGCTAAAACTAAAGTTGATCTTATTTTTGGATCAATAAAGAGTCCTGATAAATTAAGCTTAAGTGCATTTTCCCATCCAATAGAACTTCCTTTATCTTTTTTAATTAACTCAGCAACAAGCTTTAGAAATTATCAAAAATTTAAATTCTCGTTGCTCTTTCCTCATTGTTTTTAACTAACTTTCAAAATTTTCAGTGATCAAATTAAATCAAATAAAATCAAATATATTCTGAATAAAGTTGTTTCATCAAGGTTATTTACAAATAGTAATAAGTACTAATAGGAAGTAAACACCTGTAAAATTCATAATAAAATGATGACAATTATAATACAAGTAGGAGTAAATAAAAATAATA